AAACGCTGTTCGTGAATACCAAAGAAAAGTTCAAGAAATAAATGTAAGCGCCTTAAATTCAAGACTTCGTTCATTAATTCAACAGAATTTCTGTACAACACAAAAATGTCGATAATGAGTGTGGTGGTTGGTGCATAGCAGCAAAACACGAATGCATTTTACTCCAACAAAATATGTAATAGTTCGAAAAGTAAAATCTTAGGAATTATACATAAACAAGCAAGTAATAATCATATAGAAGTGAATCCAATGCCCATAAAATAACATTGATTGCAGATATAAAATGACCAGACTACTGGTACTCTAATTTCAATTTGGGGAAGAACGATCAATCCTTTTCTTTTGTGTTATTGTCATAAGTGGCTCATGTTCCAAATATCATTTATGTGAGATTCCTACTTTTTCTTATTCACGATGACCCCCAAGGCCATGTTTCATTTGCATCATTAGACTAATTCTATCGACTGAACATGTAATATGAGAGCACCGTGCCTAAATGATCCCAGGTCTCACCAACTCCAAGTGAGCAAGTCTATACTCATGCATACCCCAATAGTCTCTCCATGGCCTTCAGCATCAACCAAGCCTCCTGAAACCTCATCTCCATACATCTCCATACAGAGCCCACGTCTCATTGAATTTTATGTGAAAACGTTAGGTAAAAGACCCATGTTTATAATCTCATCAAACATTATAATTGTCATTAAACGTCATTATTTAGAACTAAAATCACAAAAGACAAAACAAAGTCACTTGATAGGTAATTTATTAGAATCTTACCCTAAGGAATGGAACTCCAAAAGTTACAACGGTTCTAAATAATGTACAAAACAACCTGTGACGGATGAAAGGCTCACTTCAGAAAACAAAGAACTAAAATCAACAAAATGAAGGCTTGAATGAAGCTTAGAGAAGTTTAGTAGATTAATAGATTGCCAATCCCCACACTAATAACGCAGATCCATAACATCCTAAAGGCTAAAAATCAATTGAAAATCATAATGAATAATTCTAACTATAAATTCACACCAACCAAGAACATTCGATAAAGAATAGGGGACAACAAATGAACAGCAGAGAACTCACCAGTTACAATAATCGCTTGCTGGGGAGCTTCTCAATTTTTAATTTATCAGTTTTAGAAAGGCGAGATCAGCTTCATCTTCTCGTGCTTTATCTCTGCCTGTTTTAGGAGCGTCGGTGGCGACAGAGGAATTGAATACGGAGTACGCCAACGGGTAGCCTCTAGCATCTGTGGGTTGAGGAATGAGAGAGGGGCAAGATGAACGTTCTAACATCGTACCCAAATAAAGTTTTTTCCCGCAGTCCCTGCACCCAAATCGAAGGTATGATTTCAAGAATGTTTTCTGATATAATATGAATGAGAGTGTAGGTTGAAGAAAAAAAATATTCAGAAATCTTGAGATGGTTAGGCATCATAAAAGAAAAAGAACTGAGAGCTATATTTTCAGATATTTTGTCACACGACTAACCCAAGTTTTACAAACTGCTATATTTTTGGACTTTCGGATATTCGGTCACATCGTTGACTGTCATTCTTCTGTCTACATCCACATCCAAACCTTTCACCTGCAACAAAAAGAAACAAAAATAGTTAGCTAGCGCAATACATAACTTTTTTGGCAAACTGCAATTAAAACCATAGAAACAAAGATAGTTACCTCTTTCTTGGCAGACTCTTCTTTCTCAGATAGAAACAACTCAATGTGACGGGGATGACATGTAAGCTGAAAGGAATTTCCTCATGTTAGCAGCTCAAAATTTCATTGAAAGAGTTAATAAGATACCTCCACACTACTTTCAGCATTCTGTGAGTACATCCAAGATAAACTTGGCAGATTTCACAGGCCAACGTCCCTAACCGTTAGAGTGCATGTTCTTTGTCTGTACAGTTGGTGAGTTCAACTAAATCATTAAACTAATCATTCAAGGATGTCATTTTCATGTCTGAAATTTAAAACAAACAACACAAAAAAAACCACAGTCAAAACATGCAACACATACAACACAGATGCATCCACAGAGCACAAAAGGCCAGCTTTACAAATACCCAAGAATCAATTTACCGAAATGAAAAACTCACAACAAAGAGGATTGTGGCCACAACAGCATGAACTGCTTGTTCGAGGAGCACGCCCTTGATCACATATCTGTTGGACACCAAGTTATTCTCACCTTCATTCTTTCCGTTGTGCATCATGTAGTCATCGAGCGATGACTACAACAAAAACATTCAAAAAATTGAAAAAGTGAACACCCAAATTTTGAAGAAAATCAGATAGACAAACGAAGACCTGAAGAGTACTGATCTACTTCCAGCTCTAGTGGATGTTGGGGTCGCGATGGGGGAGCCTTCTATGGCAGCGGAGGATGGCGGAAGATCTGAAGCAAAGAAAGATATCAATTGGAAGTTCCATTATAAGGTTTATATCGATAACATACAAAATTTGCATACTATCACTAAAAATGTTCAGCACTTAGATCTGTGAAAAGGACTACAGTACTAAAAAATTCGTACCCGACCACCACCGCTCGTGAACATCCTCGTCTAGCAGGTCGTAGCTTTTGGAATTGTGGCCCCCGCCATTCATCAGCAAGACTGTAGATGTTTTATTTTTATTTTTTTCCATTTTCTTATTCATCTCCCCAAACATTCTTGCACTTCAGTTTACGGGAGAAAACTTAAAATTGTAAAATATTAGGCAACAAAAAAGTCAAAATTAGAAAGTCACCTTATTCATAATTCAATTTAAACCCTGGCTTGCTGACCGGAAGGATTGAGACTACCGAGTGGTACTCGATGTCGTCAAAGGTCGGGTCCGTACTCTAATATGCTACCTCACTCGATCCTCCGGTCGAGTAGGCTGCATTGCTGCCGGAACTACTCAAGTTCTCCAAACCGAAATCTCTCGAATTCGTCGACGAGGCCTAATTCTCCAGCGCCGAGACGACCTCAAGTTCAATGTATTTCACATCACACGAACAATTTTTTTTTTAAATTTTCTCGATTAGGGTTCAAAAACGTGAAAGGAGAAGGTGATTAGGGTGCCAACCGTGGGGGGAGAGAAAATTGTGAGTCGGCATTCACATCAGGCTGCTTCTGCGCCGCCTTGTCCCGTCGCGCCGCCTCCCGAGTTCTAACCGCGCGACGACCGTCGCCGATGGAACTGTGGTGTCTCCTCAACTTCATTGTGTATCTCTAAATGCCAAATATCAATCGAGAATTTCAGAAATTGGGACTGAAGAGAGAAGGGGAAATAGGGGAGAAAAATGAGGACGTGCGGTGAAATGGCGGAAAGGGGTATCGGGAGGCACGCCTGGCCGTCGGTGAATGACGCCACGACGACGATGAAGAGGGAGCTTGCACAGGGCGCGGGGATTTGAGAAGGTGTCCCGAAACAACCTCTGCTCAGCTTTAACCCTAGCCGCTCGCCGGTACCCATCAACTTGGTGCGTCAATCGACGACTAAAAGTCGAGCCGAGATATAGCAACCTAGATTTGAGAGGTCCGGACGGAAGAGAGAATGGAAAATGGGGGAGAAAAATAAGGAAGTGCGAAAGAATTTCGAAGATTAGACGGAAGAGAATGAGAAATGGTGGAGAAAAGGAAGACGTGCGAAAGCCTTTTTTTTGGGGCTGCTTTTTGACTGATGAACAAACGTAACCAGAATTTCAGGAATAAAGTGGTAATAGTAATAATGCAGTACAAATCATTTAACACACGCTACGTGGGTTAAAGAAAAGCCACGTGATAGATGTAGGGGCATTATTTGAAAAAAAACGTAACCAGAATTTTGGGATGCTATTTACAAATATGGGGTAATCAAGTGGCGGAACTGTAAATAAAGGACAAAATAAAGGGCTTTTTCGTCCAAAAAAGGACACGTGTCGAGCAGCGGGATGGGTGAAAATGGACACGTGTCAAGAGGAGAATATGGCTCACTACTCCTTATGAGATATAAGAGAGATATGTGTGTCTTTCAATTGGAGAGAAAGTAGAGAACGAGAGATAGAGAAAAAACTTGCTGAGGGGAAAAATGAAGAGAAAGCATATAGAAATGAAAACATAAAGCAAAATTATCTGCTTGCAAATTAGCAAAAGAGATATATTTTTTCATTCCAATTTAAAGTGCTAAATTCTCAACTCCGGTCCAGTTCGCCGGAGCTCGTAAATCTGGTGTGCTACAGATTTCGAGACGATTGTCGTTGCATCTTCTAGGACGATACGCTTGAACCGTCAGCACTACACGGGGCGTATTCGTCTTGCGTGAAGAGTTTACTCGCCTCGACTATAATCTTTTCATTTTTCAAACTGTATTTTATTTTCGATTCTATTGTATTTTTTCTAGTTTTAGTTCATTTCCAAGAACTGAAAAATACACACCAGGTGGTAGGATTTCCGTGTATTTTCGACACCCATTTTTTCTAACAGTACCAGTAATGTATAATTTATAGATATTTTTAGTTGATTTATGTGAACAAAATGATTTGTGATAAATTTTATCTATGGTCAATACAATATTCAATAAAAAGATCAATTTTAATGTTATTTTCTCATTGTATCCATGTATGATGTATCACATGGAAATATTTTTATTTAATGAAGGCTACATTTATTTAGCCCTCTTTTTAATTCATCAATCACATGGCTAAAGGTAAAATAAGAACAAAAAGAATAAAAAAAGTTCAAGATGACCAGTTGCACACACAAAAGAAAAACTATCTATTCTCTATGACTTTATCACTATCAAAATGTACATCACAGTTCACATAATAAAGTTCACAACAACAAACAAAATTTCAAAAGAAGTTCTTACATGTCCTTATTATAAATATAGGTAAAAATACTTTCATTACACACTACATATTAACTAAAACCCATTTAAATATAATGCACCAAAAGAAGTGTTCATTGCAGAGGTAGGACAGGATGAACTCTCTTTTAGGCTCTGAAGGGCAAAATCGACAACTCAATAACTCTAAGCCATGCCGTCTTGCATCGCCATTCGCTCGGAGACTACAGCCAGAGACCTGAGGTTGCAGTTTATATAAGCCTTGACAAAATAACACGTCTCTTCTAGTGTATTCCCCTCGGGCACGTCCACCACGAATGACTCGATCACAACTGTCCCTGGCCTCCCGTCAATCGTCTCTGGATGAACCGTGATTATTGATGAGTAATTCTGAATAAAAAAAGAAAAAGAAAAAGAAAAAAAAAAGAAATAAATTAATTTTTCTTTAACTACATTCAAAATAGTGTTATTGTGAGATTTAGAGAATCGGAGCAAGAAGGTGCGGTGTAAGAGGTGGGATTAGGTGCACCATAGTAAGATCAATCCAAAAATCAATTGGTGATGAGAGAAGTAGTCCACTAGGTATATAAGCTAGGCCTAATTTCCCTATAGAATCAACGTGAGACAACTCTCAAGTGATACTCTAAACTCAAGTGATACTCCAACACTCGTAAGCCACAGGATGATTTATCTTACATTTAGCCTGTGATCGCCACCAACAAATTTGACCCGGATGATATGCCTGCGGTCGTCTAGAAGTTCCAAGCGCTCGGTGCTCTTAGTGGCCGGAAGTCCCGACTTTACGTTAACTTCTCGAACACTACCGATATTGAGATCTCCTTGCACCGTGCATCGGCTCACAA